TCGACTCGCGATTCACCAGGCATTCCACCTGCGACGCGGAACAACTCCAAGAGATCGTAGAACTGGCCGTGGATATCGCCACAAATTGTCACTGGGGTGCACACGGGCTGAATGTTTGACTCTGGAGTCGTGAGGTCAGTAAGATGCCCGATCAGCCCGAATGGCGCGGTCCTTACCCTCCATCAGAACCTCTTTCACCAGTTCGCAAAGCTCCTTCATAGCGCGCTCGGGTAGATAGTGGCACTGCTTGGCCTCCTCCAGCCACTCATCCAGGCCTGCATTGGGAGATAGTTGGGCAGGGCCCGGGCGGGGAATGTGGCTCGCCATCTTGTCGTTCAACGCTTGGGTATAAACTTGAGAATTTCTCTCGACTTCGTAGAGATCGAAATCTGCTGAGATGTTTGGGTTGAACTCCTCAGCTAACTCTAGCGAGTCTTCGTCTTCGTACTCGTCGGACTCGTAGTAATCAGGGTCGAATCCCTCGGGGAAGTCGTCGATGTCGAGAGTGCCGCCGCGAAGCGATGGCTGGAATGAGTCGTCTTTGGTGGGGTCGTTAGGACGTCGAATAACGCGGCCGATCTGCGCAGTGCGAACCTGTGGCTCTTCGGAATATTCGAAGTCGTCCTCTTGGTTGGGCTCCTCTGCGATTGACTCGGGAACACGTCGGCCGGCGGTAGGACTGGGACGGACGTTGGGGGTGTCGTTGGAAGGAAGTGATATCGAGGATGAGCGTGGTCGGCGGCGTGGGAGAATGAGAGACGGACGGTCTTGGGGCGTCGACAAGATCGGATTTGACCTCAGAGGGTGCGGTGGATCGGCGGGCAGGGCGGGGGGAGGGGCCTGGGTACCACGATTGGGTGCGACAACAACAGGCGGTGGGGTGGTAGCGCCAGGGGGTAGCTCAGGGAGAGGTCTAGGCTGCTGAACCGGACTTCTCGAAGAATTCGAATATGCTTCACGGGTGCGTCTGTCGCTTTCTTCACGACGCGCGACTCTCTGGAGATGCTCTTGGTATGGGTTATCGTAAGCCCCGACAACTACCGGACGTGGGCGACTGAAGTTGGGCGCACGCGGGCGTATCAGCTCTGCAGTGCAGTTGGCGGCGGTTAAAGTGGGGATATAGGCCGTTCCTCTGCCAGGGACCGGAATGCCTCGACCACGACTTGAACCTGACGCAGACGCAGATGACGGGACAGGACCGGCTGTAGATGCCTGAGGAACTTGCTTCTGCTGCTGATCGGGCGACTGATGCTGTTGACCGAGGTCAGGGTGTCTTGCGGGAAGGTTGAAGGATACCTCCGCTGAGCGATTGCGTGCACGGCCGGCTCCAGCTGGCCCGCGGCGAGGGACGTTGGTAAGCGGGTTTGCGAAGGCGAGGTTCGCACGCTTGATAGCAGCCTCGATCTGGGCTTCACTTGGCGGCGAATAAGTCGAAGTTGTCGCGCTGTTATCCTTCGCAGAAACCTGAAGTCCGCGGTTTATGTTGTCCTCATTGAAATCCGGAAAAGCTTCCGGAAAGTAGTCGTCTTTGTGAGGCTCCTCGCTCTCGGTGACCTCGGTGGACTCGGATCCCTTGTCCATTGTCTGTGGCTGGCTTCCACCTGGGTGAATCTCGGATAAACTCTGTTTGAGGAAGAAAGTTTGTCCGAGAGAAAAATGGCAGGTTAAGGTTTATCCGAAGATGACCCTGGGAAGTTCCTGCCAAAGGAAGCTATCCTAAAGAGGCTAGTGCACTCTTATCTGATAAGACCCACATCAGACGGAAAGTGCTCTGTGCTCCATTCTTTCAGATCCGTGATTGAAGTGAACCAAAGCGCCCCGCGCCGCTACCCTGGCGTCACACCTCTACCACAATCACAGGCCCAAGGCTGTGTCCCTTGTTGGTACCTAGGGCACAGAGCAATCATTCAGCAGTTTAGGCATAACAGCCTTTTAAAGTAATTCACATCATCTAAATCTGGCTCACTGAAACACCAATTCAGCCTCAAGACAAAGTCGCGCACTCTGTTTGGAGTCAGGCGCCGACGGAAACACATCGGCTCGAGTCGCAAACAACGCCTTGTCCGCAACGATGGCCACATCAGGCTCCCAGGGCGCCTCGCGTAAGACGAACGGTGTCCTTCCTGTCTCTGGCCAGCAGACGGCCGCCGATACGCCAAAGTCGAATAAGAGTCGTGCTGCGATCGAAGGCCACAAAGTGGTTATCAGGCGATTGCCCCCGGGCTTGACGGAGCAGGAACTATGGAACAAGCTTGGAGATGAGTGGAAGGCTGGACAGGGTCTTGTCAGCTGGCACAACTTCGAGGCCGGCAAGATCTCCCAAGAGTAGGTACTCGTCAGTTTGCTAGCACTGCGAATCGGACTGACTGTGGTTTGCGCAGCGCTGCGAAGCCGTCGCGGCCGGCAAGAGTCTACCTCAACGTCTTGAAGCGCGAGGACCTGAACACCCTTTCCAACTTGATACAGGCCAGGTCTTGGGAGGACGCCAAAATGACGTCCAACAGCCCCTCCCTTGTCGGGCCTCCGGTTCTCGAGATGGCGTCTTACAATAAGATTCCAAGCGGCAAAAAGCGCATCGACCCCAGGCAGGGAACGATCGATCAGGACCCGGAGTTTATGGCCTTCCTTCAAGATTTGACCAACCCCGAGCAGAACAAGGAGACCGAGGGTAGCGAAAGCAAGGATGCGGCCGACGAGTCGAAGCCGGATGCCAAGGTCACGACGACACCTCTGATCGAGTTCCTCAAGGAGAAGAAAGCCAACAAGGCCAAAGAAGCGGCCGCAGCTAAGAGCGCGAAGCAAGCACGTCAAGAATCTCAGAACACCAAGGGCAAGGCATCGGCGTCTACGGAGGATTCGAAGAAGGGCAAGAAGGACTCTAAGACAGAGAAGTCGTCAGAGAAGCCCAAGGAGACGGTCAAGATTCTGACTAAGAAAGCAACCGCGGACGCCGTCAAAGCAGCAGAGGCCGTTGCCAGCCAGATCACCCGGAGCTCTTCGGCCGCTCAGGAGGCACCTAAGAGCCGACGGGCTGGTATTGCAGCTGCTGCACGCATTCTGCAGCGCGACCTCGGCATCAGTCCTGGCAGCGCTCATAGAAGGGCTCGTCTTGACGCTGCTAAGGCGGAGGCAGAAGCGAAGGCTGCGTCTCCGAAGGAGCCTGCTCAGCCCGCGGCTGAAGTTCCGGCTGCTGCGGCACCACCCGCGCCGCCAGCCCAATCCTCCTCCAATGCTGCCCAATCCGCGGAGCGCAACGCGGCACCCAGTGCTCCCAAGTCAGGACGCACCCGTAGAGGTGGAGGTGGTAAGAACGCGGCTGCCAATGAAGGAAAGGGCAAGTCCAACGACACTGGTGGTTCTTCCAACACCCCAGCGCCCACCAAGACCCCTGTTGTGCTGCTCAAGAAGAGGGACGAGAAAAAGAACGAGGAGAAGGCAGAAAAGGCCGAGAAGGCCGAGAAGGAGGCCTCATCATCCCAACCAGCGCCCGCCAAATCCAACCCCCCAACAGGACCTAAGGGCTCAGGGAAGGGCAGCAACTCCAAGAAGGGTGCCAGCTCTGTCACAGTCACCCCCGGCGCCACCCGCGGCTTCGTCAAGCACGCCAACCCGTCCCAGGGTGTGACCGAGAACCTCCTAAAGCAGGCCATGGAAGCGTTTGGAACCGTCATCTTCGTCGAGATCGATAAGCGTAAGGGCTTCGCCTACGTTGACTTCTCCGACCACGACGGTCTCGCCAAGGCCATCGCCGCCAGCCCAGTCACTGTTGCCCAAGGCACTGTTCAGGTTCTCGAGCGCAAGGAAAAGAAGCCCGCCGCCAGCAACGCCGCCAGCACCAACAACTCTGGCAACGCAGCTTCCTCCTCCAATGCGCCCGCGGCATCCTCCTCAGCTTCCGGCGCAAACAAGGAAAAGGACGCCAACGCAACGAACAACCCTGACAAGCCCGAGGAGCAGCGCCACAAGCGCACCAGGCGTGGCCGTGGTGGCGGTAAGGCCGCGGCCAACAAGGATGCGCAGCAGCAAGCTGCCGCCGCCGCTGCCGCTCCCGCTGCGGATAAGGCTGCAGGTGCGGGATGATTGCTCAGGCAACCCACCCCAAGTCTACGGTTTGCGAATGGTATATTTTGTGTGTACCTTACATCGATCTACCCTACCTACGCATGCGTGCGCGTGGCCCCAGCATGGCATGGCATGGGCGGCACGTCGGCGAGGAAACGTGGTTGACTGGCGAAGGCGAAGGCAAAAAAATGAGGATTGCGACGCCGTCACTGTGGTCGTGGCTGCGTTTCTGCCCAAAGGGGGGCCTCGGGAACCCAAGCAGCGAACCATTGGGCGTGCGCGTCTCAAACCCTTGACAAACTCCCCCCGGTCGCTGACTTGCAGTCACACATTATCGATTCGACGTCGACCTGTTGGAGAGTTTCCATCGTCTCACAGGACGGGACGGCCAGCAGCGCGAATGGAGGGCCGTGGCGGGATGCGAGGGAGGGCCCGAGTGGATGGTTCGGAGTGGATAATTGGAGGGAGTCTAACGCACCTCGGCGCCACGAGAGCATCAATACGATTCTCAGTATCGTTGGGCCTCTCGGTGTTACTGGGTCACGTCACATTCGTATGGGCTCGAGAAGAAGTTGTAGAAAAAACACCAAGTTTAACTTTTGATTGTCCTCGATGGGGATACATCTCTCTAAGGGTGATCCCGCCATCCCAAGCTTACAAAAAAAGGCAGTGAGTGCCCTACATCAATCCATAGATCCATCAGTCCATAGCTAGTCGTTCCTGCGTGTAAACGCGTCCCCAAAAAAGAAGCCGCTCATTCCCGAACAAACAAGGGCCCAAAAATTGTCTATCTAAATAAAGAGGAAAAGTGACAATGCTCCCATGCAAATCATACAACGTGACACACACAAAATACTTTCTGCAAAACCGGGGGGTTTTCCCGGTTTCCCAATTACAAACAAGTGTTGATATCTCATCCCATCCGCTGCTGCTGACGCTCATTTTACCAAAGCCAAAACACCGTAAAACAAAAGAGCAAGGAAAATTCCCAGCAGGATGCCATGCGTCTCGCGGAGGGCGCGGGCGGCGCGGGACCGGGCGTCGGTGAGCCAGAGGACCTCGCCCGCGTCGCGCCGCGCCGTCTTGAGCCCGGGCAGGCCGTCGATGGAGGTGGCGTTGGTCTCGAGCTGGTACTTGTGGACGGTGTTGTTGTCGGCGCGCTTCTTCCAGTAGTTGTCGAGGGTGGGACGCTCCTCAAAGACGGAGAGTTCGTCTTTGACCTCGTGATGTGCTGTTGATTGCTGCCCCTTTTCGAGAGACGCGTCCTCGGAGGTCGCCGCCGGGGCGTAGAGCTCCTTCCTGACCATGGGAACGCCGAAGCCGCAGCTCGTCTGGACCTCCCACACGTCGCCGAGGACGACAGCCCTAGCGCCGTCGTATGAGTCCCGGCTGCTGCCCTGCGGGACGATGCGCTTCATCCACGAGTCAAAGTCCGGGCTGTCCCACTCCACGATGCGGCTCCGGCAGAAGATGCGGAGGATGCGCGGGGAGGGGCCGAAGGACATGAACATGAGGGTGAGGCGGCCGTTCTCGTAGCTGTGAGCGATGGTCTCGCAGCCGGAGCCGGTGCGGTCGATGTAGCCGACGAGGTTGGGGCCGAGAACGGCGAAGTGGGCGGAGAGGCCCTTTGGCGAGACGTTGACGTGCGGGAGGTGGGTCGGGGCCGAGGCCGTGAAGAAGACGGGCTGGCGGGCGGCCCAGTCGGCGAGGTCGGAGCTCAGTGAGGGGTAGAGCTTCATTGTGTGTGATTTTTGTTTGTTTTGTAACTTTCTTGGTTCGCAGGTGAAAGTTGGAGTCGATTGACTGTTGGAGAAAGAAGAAGAAGAAAGGGGGCTGGATTGATCCAAGGTGTTTGTCGTCTCAAACGTATATAAGGGTATTGGGTATCGCAATGTCGACGAAATGAAATCTGGTACAGGATTTGGTACATGAAATGAAAAGTAACAGATGAAGAAGCGGTCGCATCGTTGAAATAGAATCGAGTCCGAGTCCGCGACCGGCAATGGCGGTCGTGTTCGTGTGAGAGGAATGAGTCAACCCATTGCGTCTCATCCCATATTGGACGTCTTGGTCCAGGTCGGTGCGGGGTGAGATAGGCAGGCTTGGGCTTGGATGCTCATCCCTCCTGTCAAGGTGTCAAGGTAAAGGAAAAGGCGCCTTCCGGTCTTGGGGAAAGGCGCCGCGGGCGAGGGAAGGGGGAGGGGGCTTTTTAGCGGGCCCTGGCTCCCGCTATCCGCCTGTATGCGGGATGCGTTGCCAGGGATTGTTAAGAATTTCCGCTGTGACTGGTGTGATGCAGCGCATCATAAACGTATTTTCTCGTTAAACAAAATTGCCCGACTTGGTGCGTCGCACAGGGCTTGTCTTTTGCGCGTGGCTTGGGATTTTTTTTATTTTTTTTTTCAATTGCCCTTACCACTGACGCGACCTGCCGCGGGTAGTGTCTGGCAAGGGGGATGCGAGGGGGTATGCGTGGTAGTGGCCGTCCTCGCCGGCGTAGCCGTCGTCGTAGACCGCCGTGCTGCCCTCGTAGTCGGAGATCGTGGTGGTCGCGATGACTTGAGGTCTGATCTGGGAGTAGGACGAGTCGGCACGGCTCTTACGGGGACGCTCCGCGGTGGATCGAGGCGCGGAGGGGCCGTACGGCTCGACGTAGCTCTTGCGGCCCGAGCTACCGCTAGAGACGCTGCCATCATCCTTGCTGCTGCTGTCCTTGTGGTCGAAACGGCTCTTGAGGCGCTTCTTGTCCTCCTCGTGGAGCTTCTCGCGTTCCTTCTCGCGTTCCTTGCGCTCCTTGCGCTCCTGGCGCTCCTGCTCATCGTGGCGCTTCTCGCGCTTCTCCTCGTGACGCTTCTCCTCATGACGCTTCTCATCGTCGCTGGTCCGGCGCTTGCTCTCACTCCGGCGCACCTTGCTCTCACCGCGGCGGGTCTTTTCCTTGGGAGAGGGTGGTTGCTGAACGGGCATGGCGCCCGTCATCATCTTGGGCTCGCGCTCGCGCTCACGGGGCTGGCTGGAGCGGGCTTTGCGGACGTCCTCCTTGAGCTTTTCGTTCTCCTCCCTGAGCGTGCGCTTCTCGCGGACCAGCTTCTCCTTGTCGTCTTCGAGGACCTCGACAGTGTTTTGCAAGGCGGTGAAGCGGGCGTTGACATCGCGAAGCTCGTCTTTCAGCTTCGTGTACTCATCCTTGAGACTGAGATGAGCCTTGTGCAGGTCAAAGTACGCTTGCGCCGAGCGATCGGGGCTGGTGCTGTAGGAATCTTGGTCAGAGCCAACGCCCGAATCGCTCGCCTGCTGGCGGTGACCTCTGACTGACACGCTGTGAACCGGCTCAAAAGAGACGTTCCTCCGGTACTTTTTGGAGTCGTTGGCCGACATGGTTGCTGATTGGGTCCTGGCAGGGCTGCTTGTCGTCGATCAGCCGAGTTGGGTCGATGGACCAGGTCGAGGCGAATGTGTATCTGTGCCTTTTGCTGCCGCAGCAGGTGAGGAAAAAGTGAAGCTGCGGTCGTATATATGTGAGTGAGTTGAGCTGCGTCCTATTCGGGCAAGGCAGAATTTTCGAATTTGGATGTGGGCGGTTGTGGTGGTTGGCTACCGGGTTAAGACAGGCCGTGTGTGTGAGTCAAGTATTAAAGGAAAAGGGCGAATTGGGTCGCAGTGGTAATTTGGTTGTTTTTTCCCGGGTTGGAGGTTGGCGGGACTTGGGCAGCAACACTAATAAGCGAAACCTGAGACTGAGATGAAGGGGAAAGAGGGAGGGAAACGGGAAATGCGTCGGCATGGAAGTTTTTATTTATTTGGACACAGCCATTGCAGTCTCCGGGAACAGACCATAAAAATAATAACAACAGTCGGACTCGGAGGGAGGAAAGTGGCAGAGGCAGAGGCAGAGCGAGTGAGCGACTGACAGAGATGGTGTGGATTGCATTGCGCTGCTGCTGCCTCCGGGGCTAAGTCGCGATGGATTGGGAGGGAGGAACAGCAGAGAGGCGTGCGACAGGGGAGAGGACCAGACGGCAACGGCAGAGATACCTACAACATGCCTCCGTGGCCTAAAGAGATTGCAGCATTCCTGAGGTAGCCCGTCGGTATTGACCATGTAGGGCTGGGTGGCCTCTTGGCGAAGTCCAGAAGAGGAGTCATCGCTTGGGTACGGGGAAGGAGGACGGGACCAAACATGCCCTGCCCTTTCTCTGCTGCAGTCTGCAAGTCTGGCTGCAGTCTGTCTGCACAGTACTCCCTCGTCACTCTCTCACCCCGGCCCATGATGAGAGGGTGAACCCGCGCCCGCGATCCGCCGGCCGTCCTGCCTAGCGAACTGTGGGTTGGCGTAACGGTTGACGGGACACGGGAGACGAGGGACTGACGAGGATGGGGATTGTTTCGAGGGATGGGCCCAGAACTTGCCTGTCAATGGCGCTGCATCCATCGCCAGCCAGGGTGTGGGGACGCGGGAGCGAAGTGGAAAAAAGGCGATTCTCGTCTGTACAAGGAATCGACTCCCATTTCCGCCGACCCCTTCACAATTCCATGTATTCCCAGGTCCAAGGTCCAAGGCCCTCGAGGGGGAGGGGCACTTCTGGAAAAAGGGGGGTGTGCTGGTGGGAGGCTTTGCTTCAACTTTCTCGGTGGGAGGACCTGTTCTGATTGGAGGCGGCGCAGGCGTCCAGCAAGGCAGATACGCAAATTTTGGCTGCCTTCTTTTGCTGAATTTTTGCCTGTGGACGCCTTGTTTCCCTCGTTTCCTGCCCATTTTCAGTGCGTGCGTGGAATGGTCCGCCAACGCGGGTTGAGTACCCGACAGACTGATCCGCCTAACAGAAGCAGGCTGTTGGCTCTTGCAGACCGCAGGGAGACGGAGCATGGCGAAGCAAATGCGAGGTGAGGTAAGGTCAGGTAGGTGACAAGAGGCCTGCGGAAACGACGAGGAGACGGACGAGACAGCAAGAGTACGCAACGGCGTGAACAGGGTCTCTTGGCGCTGCGTAGTACTTCTCTTGCAGCTATTCGCAGTCTCTTAAGCCTGTTCTGTCTCCCCCGTCGATCCAGGATGATGATGTGCGTTGCGTTCGTGTCGGTATTCGGACCAATCGTCTGGCAATGATCGCAAACCCAGATCGGCTTGCAGCCTAGAGAGAGGCCGTCGCGAGACCCCGATGAGGGGCAGGTGATGGGCCAGCGAGTCGCGTCGTGAGTCACGCCTTTTCTGGCGACTGGCGTCTGCACTTTGGACCCCGCGTCGCGATGGGGTTCGCTCGTAATGACGATGGTGACTGAGGCTCCTATCATTCGACTTCATGCGTTCGATGCAAGCCTCCTAGGCTGCTTCATCCTGTTGGCGCTCTCGAGGAGATGGTGGTGCACTTGGTTGCCGCTGATCGATCGACAATTCTCGTTCCGGCCAGTGAAACCAGCTGAGTCTCTGTCATCAGATCGGTCAGTTTCGACATGATGCCTCCGTCGTCTCCGTTCGCTGGGAGGAACGTCGCGGGCCGCATGGCGATGATTATCACGAACGGGCTGGGGTGTGGTGATGGTGAGTGGTTGAGAGGTGCGGACACCAGAGCAAACATGTCACTGGGAATCCGCTGCGGACGGCAGCTAAGCACGGACTAGACAGCACCGCCCCGCAGGCTAGCGCAGCAGGCACTCCCCTGCAAGGCCTGCGTCAACGTGCCTGTCAAACCCTAAGACGCCAACCACACACGGCGAAAGCTCAAAGTCTGTGCCTCTAAATGCTGACACTCGGAGTCCTCAATTCAACTAGCCAGGGTGATTCTACATACTGGAGGTACATGAAAATACATAACGAAATATGTTGAGGTCAGTCCCGTGGTCCTGTTAGAGAACGCAACTATGCGTCTGAGGTCGACTTCACTGGATGACTGCCTGCTCCGGAAACTCAGTAGTTGCTATCATCATCGTCTCCATTTCTTTGTGGCCCTTCCTAATCGTCACGACAACCTAACCCAGCATTTTAAAGGACCAAGGCTTCAATGACTGCCTGGGTGCACATGGTCTATCCATGTGCCATTGGCTAACTGCCTCACCAACTTCAGTATGTTGAACTTGCTTGGAGACTCAGTAAAGATATCATCATCGTCTCCAATACTCTCTGGTCCTGTTCTTCAGGGCCTTCTCGAGAGCCAAGGCGAATCACCGCCTGAATGCATGTGGTCTATCCACACCCTGTTGGGTGTCTTACGTCCAACTTCAGTACGACCTGTCCCAGAGACTCAGTGAGATCACCACCATCGTCTCTAATTCTTTCTGGCCCTGCCTCATCGTCTCACGACACTTTAACCCACGATTTTGGAAGGGCCAAGGCTTGAATCACCGCCTGGATGCGCATGGTCTATCCATGTGCTGTTGGCACTAACCTCACCAACTTCAGTATGTTTGAGCCTTCTCTCATCGGGCCGTCGCTCCACGATTCAGAAGGGCTAGTGCAACCGTGGTCTATCCATGTGCAGTTGGTTATCTCACTTTCACCAACTCCTGACTAACTAGATTGATGAGAAAAAATAAGACGGAAATCGTGGGACATGCCTCCTCTTATAACTTTTCTGAAGGTGCTACCTGTGTTCAGATCAGTTCCACTGCGGCGACCATAATGGCTCAGTTCAAGAGGAAGGAAAAGTTTGTTAGGGACCGAAAGGTCAAATATGATACCAAACATCAGGGCATTTCACCCAAATTATCTTACCTACCGTAGTCGCTTGCATCAAGGTGCTTT